CTCTCTCATCACCTGATGGGATGCACCGTTGCCATTTGTTATACATCTCCTTTGCATTTTTTATCAGATTTTGAAGGTGACTAAGCATGAAATCATATGCTTCATGATTTCCAGTTGGATCTACTGCTTCGACTCTATCACTCTCAGCTTCAGCAACCTGCAGTGCCGTGGACAGTTCAACATCCCCATATCTAGTCCATAACGTTTCATGAAGAAGAACTTTCACTTCATCCAGTTTTAACTCACAGTCGCTTGCAGTCTTCTCGAGGTCGTCTTTTTGCTGTTCTGTTAATTCAGCTGACTGGTCTGTATCCAGATTTGCCTCTATTTCTGCAATCATGCCTGCTTCAAGATCATCATTTACTTCCATGACTTTCTCTGCTTGTATTGTGAGTTTATTTAAACTGTCTTGAAGATCCATCTCTGTCATGTTTTTACAAGTTTTGAATATAGTGTTGGCTAGACGTGTGAATGCCCTTTTTTCCACTGTCCTTTTTGCTTTTAGTTGTTCGAGTGACTTTCCTACCGCCTGTGTGGCCATTCTTCACAGTTATTCTTCAAATTGAATATATTATCTTCTCACTTGCCTTTTTTGAGTCAGACAGGTTTCCAGTTTTCCTGGTTTCCCGTTTTTTCACTGTCCAGTTTTCCACTGGTCCCGGTTTTTCACTGTCCCGGTTTTTCACTGGTCCCGGTTTTTCACTGTCAAGCTATTCTCTTATGCACAAGTTTTCCCGCTTGAAAGGAAGACACATCATCAAGGGAGTTTTAACTGGATTCCACTCATCCATTTATTGCATCAAAAATGCAGCAGAAAGGCAGGTAAAAAGTATAACGTTGGAAAGTAGAAAGTAGAAAGTTGAAAGTTGAAAGTTGAAAGGTGAAAAACCTTCAAAATAAACAAAAATACAAGATATGTAATTAAATTGCAAATAAACATATATATACAAACATTTGTGAATTTTGTCTGATTTTCCATACAGTATTTTCAAGTATTATACTGAATTATCACTTGTTAAAGCACAATCACCAGTACAGTTTAATATACTGAACTTAAATATTTAGTTTTAAGACACATAAATGAAATGCGATTAATTTTGCTACTGCAGCAATCAGCTTATGTGCACGTGATCTGCTCATGCATGCATATGAATCACGGAGGAAAATTAACATCTTAACGTCAGTCAGACAGCACTCAAATGATGATCAAAATAACCAAAACTATACATTTCTGCTTTATAACATTTTCTAGTTTGCAAATAACTATTTGTATCTTCAAGTAATTAAGCAGCGGGCAGATAAGCACTGTAGGAGCAACTTTTTCCTCTGTGCCGAACTTGAACTCAGATGCTGCTTCACGGTTGATTTGCCCTCAAATACTGACATGACAGTCACGATTTTCATGCAATAACCAAAGTAAAGTTCTCACCGGCTGCCACTCCGGGACTTGATGATGGTTTTTTAACTGTTGTGCACTTTCTTTCTCAATTTTGGCGGAGATTCGGCTTTGGCGGAGGTTTCGTTCTGGCGGAGATTCTGTTCTGGTTAGGTTTCAGTTTCCTTTTTCCTTACGTGAATGCCGAACTACTGCATGTCCTTCCGCCTCTCCCTCCGACTGGCGGATGGATTTTTTTCTCCTTCTATATTAGTTTGACTTGACAGGCATATATCCATACACTGCATAATCAAAAATGATATCAAATTTAATACCTTGCAAAATTGCATTTTAGACTTTTTAATACTTTTTAAGGACCTTAAATTTCTCCACATTGCTTTATCAACTTTTAATACCCTTTAAGACCCCGCAGACACCCTGTAATTCATGAGTTTTAATGAAGCTTTTTGTTAAGTCGAAACATCAAAAATAACGCATATATTAAATCTTAAAACAGCATTAACATGAGCATGATCCAATGGCCATTGATTTTATGAGGTTTGCTGATTTTTTTGTCTTTAAATGTCTCTCACCAAGATGACGCTCATTTTATTACACAATACAATGAAAACAGGCCAACACTTCGATTTGTGTTGGGACTACAAAAAGGAATTAAGTTGTCTTTACAAATTTAAGTTGATTGAACATAAAACAATTAAGTTGTCCCCCCCCCCCCAAAGAAAATAAAAAACAATTGTGTTGTTACAGCTTATTTCAAATAAGTAGTTTAAACAAACACCGGCACACATTTAGCCATCGACAGTAAACTCACCTGCAGATCTGAACTAAACACCAAGAATGCACAGCAAAAAGATTCATCCATCCAAATTGCTGTAATAACCCTCTTCTTGCTGTAATAATCCTCTTCTTTATAATTCAGAGTATACAGGAATCAGAAAGTACCTTTTAAGACCTTCTTTAAGTTTCCTTACATTTTAATACCTTACAACCATTTTTCAACCAGTAACACTGGCGAGATTTTAAATAACAGTATATTTACTAAATATTAATGTAAGAAATTAATCCAAAACTAAAACATTATTCATACGCTGAATAAAAATCTATTAAATCTAGCTAATTCTGCAGGTTGGCGCATATAGAACTGTGGAAATAATGGTGTTGCCTTGGTTACTGCAGTAAACAAAGCAGCATGATGTCAAATCTAGCAAGATTTCGTTGATTTCATAAACAGCACAGCATCCTGTTATTCACAGATTTAATTCAGGCAAACTTTGGCATATATCCACACATTGCATAATTACAAATGATATAAAATTCAATTAAATTTAAAGCATTTTAGACTTTTTTTTATCATTTTTAAGGACCTTAAATTTCTCTACATTGAGTTACAACTTTTAACACTTTTTAAGATCTAGCCTAAGCAGATCGCTGGAGAACTACACATATGCCACTTTAATAAACTACAACTCCCATCATGCACTTCAGACACACCAGTTCCTGATTCCCCCTGATTACACACACACCTGAAGACTGGATGGTCCATATAAACAGCACACACACACAAAGACTGATTCTTGTTTTCTTTGCCTTGTCCTTTTTTTTGTTTTTGATCTTTACTTTGTTCATTGTTTTATGTTGTCTTGCCACCTGTCCCAACCATTTGCCTGTTTTGTTGACTACGCTTGAATTACCCTCATGTTACTGTTTGACCATTTCCTGCCTGACTATTCTCTTAATAAATCTGCATGTAAATTCTCAACATTGTTGTCATCAGACTCACAGTTACAGTTATAGAGACATTCAAGTAACAATCAATATAACAGTAGTTTACTTACTGAAAAATCTTGGTGGACTTATTCGGAACAAGAATCAATTGATAACAAATAAAAAAAACTGTGTTAATTGTATTAAATATGAATTAATTTACATCTTTATACTTCACAAAGTAAAAAATCGCTTTATAAAATCACCTCATATATATCACAAAGATTTTCATTAAATTTATTTTATATTTATTCTGTATACTATTTATACTAGTGTGCACAAATATAAGCAAATCAAGCCAATATGTGCACAAACAAATATAGTACATTTTTGTATATTATTAACGTTGATGATATATATTATTTACTGTATATCAACACAATACTGAATCAAAGTTGTCCAGAAACTAATAAACAACAACCAATCACTGTCTTTGATCAACTTCAAAGATTGACTACTGTACTGTATACTATTACATAAATATATATTAAGTACAGTTTAATTAAGTATTCATTTATTCATATTTCTTCGACTTAGTCTCTTTATTCATCAGGGGTCGCCACAGCAGGAATGAACCGCCAACTTATTCAGCATATGTTTTACACAGCAGATGCCCTTCCAGCTGCAACCCAGAAATGGAAAACATCCATACACATTGACACACTCATTCACACACATACACTGTGGCCAATTTAGTTTATACAATTCGCCTATAGCTCATGTCTTTAGACTGAGGGGGAAACCGGAGCACCCGGAGCAAACCCACGTCAACGGGGGAGAACATGCAAACTCCACGCAGGCAACTTTCTTGCTGTGAGGCGACAGTGCCAACCACTGAGCCACCCCTTGAGTCGCCCCTTAAGTAAGTATATTAGGTAAATATATAAAATACAATTTCACAGGTAAATGACACATCTTTGTGCATTTATAAACTATAATAAACAAACGTTTGACTTAAGCAAGTTTTCCACATTTTGTTTCTATCCTGAGTTTACATTCTGTCCATATTTGAACGCTCAATGCTTGGGCACTGGTCAGCACCTTCTATATGTTTCTGAGAGATTATTATATAGTCAATGCAGTCTGAGATTCATTATATAAACACATAAGGCTGCAAATTGAATTTCATGAGAACTCTATCCGCAGCGAAGTGAGCCATTACTCAGCCTAACTGCTTTTTCCACCAATCAGATGCAGTACAAGTCTGTAAGCTACACTGATTGTCATGGCACCACAGTGAAGCGGCACAGAACTCAAGTAAAGTCTCTCAGCTCATTCACACTGTGATTTACATCTGAAGTCTTTCTACTGCTGTCTTCTTCATTCACCTGCATTTGTTTCATGCATGTTATTAGACAAATGCATGCAGTGATGCACATGGAGTGTATTCATTATCAAAACTAAACAATACGAAACATGAAAATGCTTCAGTGCATGTATAAATTACACAAAATTTTCCAAATATTCACTTAAAGTACATAAAACACAAGTAATATGGCATCAATGTGCATGTTTACAATGTAAAGGCCAATTGTTAAATGGCCTAGAAATAGATTTATGAATAAAACACGTGACAAAAGAGTAAACCAGCATAAACTGCATATTAGATCATCAACTCAATGCATTTAATTGCATAAACACATTATCCCCGCAATAATAAGCTGAATGTGTGAGTACTTATATTATCAAACATAAATATGAAATGATTTACAAAACAATGTTCCAGTTACACTTTATGAATATGATAGTTTTGTAGAATCTGTATGATGTCTGATAGTGTTGTATTGTATAGCGTTCACAATGAAGCTCTATGAGAGGCGTCTGTGCACTTGCTACTCACCAAAAGCCTGTCATCGCTGAAACCGCTTTCACTTGTGTTCCTCTGCCTTCACTGAAGCCCATCTGCGCTGAAACGACGCGCTTCATCGACGACAATATTGCGGTTTCTGTACAAAAGTGTGTTTTCATTCGCTTTAGACTCCCAGAGAACAGCGCGGATCTCGGAGCTCTGCTGCTCATTTGCTTTGATGTGACGTAATGCGCCTCTCGCGGTGACGTAATGCGGAATCTCTCCACTCGACACAGCGGTATAACAGTGCTCTGCAGCAGCTGGGTGATTACACGAAAAAATATTTTAAAAAAATAATAAATTGAAATGAAACAAAATCTGTTCTTTAAATTAAATGTATATAAAAAACATTAAAATAGTCTATTAAAAACATAAAAATTATGTGAATTTAACTGCATAAACAAACAGAAACAATGATAATCAAAAGAATAAGAGTTGGCTCTCTATAAAACTAAAATTATTGGTTTTATTTTATTTAATATTTTCACATTTATGGTGAAAAAGTGTCGTTATGGATGTGGCATCTCTCAGTTATGGATGTGACAAATGTGAAATTGCCTCTTGTGTGATTTTGGTAAATCAAAGATAATAATTTGAAAACATTAACAGATTTTTGAGTATCTCTAAAGTACTGTAAAATACTTGCACAAAAAACCCAGAAATGGTTTTCGTATTTTGTTGAAAACTTTTTATGGCAAGGTTGACATTTGCACGGAATTGCTCATATATATATATATATATATATATATATATATATATATATATATATATATATATGTACTGTAGTCAGCATTTTAAGTGTTTTCATGTTATATTTATATCATATATTAAACATTTATTATGATTATATTGGTTTAGATAGTATCAATTTATCACATTTTTTTTCTATTTCCTATTTTTTTGTTTGTTTAATCTGGTTCTAAAATGATCTAATACGCACAACCATCTATAGGGTTTACAAAGAATGATCCGAAAAAGAGAGAATATCAAATGAGCTGCAGTTCTGTGGGCGCAAATGCCTTGTTGATGCCAGAGGTCAGGGGAGAATGGCCAGACTGGTTCTAGCTGATAGAAAGCAACAGTAAATCAAATAAGCACTCACAACTGAGAAAAGCATCTCTGAACACACAACACGTCCAACCTTGAGGCAGATGGGCTATAATAGCAGAAGACCACACTAGGTGCCACTCCTGTCAGGCTAAGAACAGGACACTGAGGCTACAATTCACACAGGCTCACCAAAATTGAACAATAGAAGATTGGAAAAACGTTGCCTGCTCTGATGAGTCTCCATTTCTGCTGCAAAATTTATATGGTCGGGTCAGAATTTGGCATTAACAACATGAAAGCATGGATCCATCCTGCCTTGTATCAACGGTTCATGCTGGTGGGGGTGGTGTACTGGTGTGAGGGATCTTTTTTGGCACACTTTGGGCTCATTAGTACCAATTGAGCATCTTGTCAACGCCACAGCCTTCCTGAGTATTGTTGCTGACCATGTCCATCCCTTTATGACCAGAGCGTACCCACCATCTGATGGCTACTTTCAGCAGGAAAACACATGTCACACACCATGTCATAAAGCGCAAATTATCTCAGACTGGTTTCTTGAACATGACAATGAGTTCACTGTACTCACATGGCCTCCACAGTCACCAGATTTCAATCCAACAGAGCACCTTTGGGATGTGGTGGAATGGGAGATTCGCATCATGGGTGTGCAGCCAACAAATCTACAGCAGCTGCATACAATAATGTTGATATGGATCAAAATCTCTGAGGAATATTTCCAGTGCCATGTTGAATCTACGCCACGAAGGACTAAAGCAGTTCTGAGTGCAAAAATGGGGTCCAGGGAGTACTAGTAAGGTGTACCTAATAAAGTGGCCGGTAAGTGTATTTTATAATTTTAATGATTAAATGATGAAAATAATAAAATTAAAAAAAAAATACCACAACGAGCATTATATCTTGTTTGATGTGACTTAAATTATTCATTAATTAATTTTCGAAAATTAATTTAACATCCTATTGTTTGTGCATATGTTCTCTTTTTTATCACAACAACTATATATATTATATATACTATATATATATATATATATATATATATATATATATATATATATATATTTTTTTTTTTTTTTTTTTTTTTTTTTTTGCATATATTTTCTCTTAATAGTTTTTATTATTTTTTTTATAACTAGTGCAACGTGTCCTGAAAGTTTTCATCAGGCAGACCCAGCATAAACTTAATACGTGATTGTGTTCGCCATTCAACATCAAACCCTCCTCACCCTGAAAGGCTTTGTTTTTTTTCTTTTCCACTTTCTCAGTTGTGTCTATTGTGTCTGCGGTGAATGAAGGCCTTCCTGTTGCCTAGTAACCGCGCGCGCCCGGTGAAAGCGGAGGTCTGGAAACAAAGTATGAAACAGGCCGCGACGTGACACGATGCCGAGATATGTGTCAACATTCATCATATCGCTCTCGATGGCTCACGTATAACATAAATATCAGTCGTGGCTGAACCTTCTGCGCTTTAGAAGTGAATAATGTAAGTACCGAGAGCGTGAATCACAGTCAAACCTGCTGTGTGACTCTAGTCAGCAGCTCATAGGATGGTTAACCGTTTAAACCTAGCGTTCATTACTAATTAACTTATTTATTTCGTTCAGACTGTAGTTAAAGCTGTTTTGCTTCATGTCAGTGGCACAAATATGTTTATTAATACAATATGAAGTTAATGTTTTCCATATTCTTTAAATAACATTGATAATAATATCTAAGTACAACAGCTAAGCATTAGTTGTAACGCTAACACTGATTGGTTGATTGATTACTCATTGATTGTTTACTGATTGATTTATTCAGTCACTGATTTTGATTTTCATAGATTTCTTAAATGATGCCTGATATAAAGTTACTCAAGTTTTCTTCAAGTGAAGCAGCATTCTTACCAGGTAAAGTCCTACATGGTTTATAAATGCTATTTTGTAAACGTGTAAATATATGGAAAGAGTTTGGGATTCATTAAATTATGTATATTTGCAAACAATTATGCGTACTGAGAAGCACATGATTGATGCCATAAAAGTTCTCGTGACCACAAAAAACGGTCATAAGGGTCGATTTTTGTGGAATTGACATTCATATTCATGTTTATATATATAATTTTTTTATTTATAATTTATAATTTAATTATAAATAATTATTTTATAAATAAAAATCAATTGATATATGTTTTTTTTTTTTTTGGCATAAGACATTTTTTTTCCAAGATGCTTCTGTTTGAAATGATTAAATATGAGGTTTCAAAATCTAAATACTGAACAAAATAAACTTTTAAGTTGTCCAAACTATAAGTAATGTACCAATTACAACTCAGAAATTATTATTTTTTAAAAGTAGTATTTAAAGTATTTAAAGCATGTTGTCATGGAACATGATCTTTACTTAATATGATAATTGTTGACTCACCCAAGCCAAAAATAACCAAGAAATTTTGGTTATTCCTACAAACATACATAATATATTCTTTTAAACTGTGTGTGTGTGTTATTATTAGCCCCCCTGAATTATTAGTTCCCCCTTTTTTTTCTCGATTTCTGTTTAATAGTGAGCAGATTTTTCCAACACATTTCTAAACATAACAGTTTTAATAACTCATTTCTAATAACTGATTTTTTTTTATCTTTGTCATGATGACAGTAAATAATATTTGACTAGATATTTTTTAAGACACTTCTATACAGCTTAAAGTGACATTTAAAGGCTTAACTAGGTTAACTAGGCAGGTTAGGGTAATTAGCCAAGTTATTGTATAATGATGGTTTGTTTTGTAGACTATCAGCGACACGGTGGCTCAGTGGTTAGCACTGTCACCTCACAGCAAGAACGTCGCTGGTTCAAGTCCCGTCTGGATCAGTTGGCATTTCTATGTGAAGACTAAATTAGCTGTTATGTAGGTGTGTGAATGAGTGTGCATGGATGTTTGCCAGTACTGGGCTGCAACTGGAAGGGCATCCGCTGTGTAAAACATATGCTGGATAAGTTGGCGGTTCATTACGCTGTGGCGACCCCTGATGAATAAAGGGACTTAGTCGAAGGAAAATGAATGAATGAATGAAATACAGTCTCGTAAATAAATGGGAAAAACAAATAAAACATTTTCTCGTTTTAGTTGATAACAGTGTCATGTTAGATTATGTCATTTATTTTTAATAATTAATGATTACCACTGTAGCAACCACCTAGCAACCACTCAGAACATCCTAACAACTGCATTGGAAATCCTTACCAATTACTCAGAACACCCTAGCAACTACCTAGAGTTTTCCCAACGCGATACTGATGTTCAAGTATGTGAACTTACAGATTTGCCATATTTGATGCAAAATTCACAACTGAATCTTTCACAGAGTGAATCATTATATAATCATCACAATATGTAATATCACTATCCACTAAACATATTTTGCCCTAATTCTAATATGAAATCTAATGTTACACCCTTATTCATATTATTTCATCATTCTCCACATGACTAATTAAATGTCCAGTCTTTTTAATCAAATATGCTGTTTCGCATTAAATTAGCTGAGTTTATGGACATGAAAACAGAGATGTCCTGTTGTTTTCAGAATAAAGGGTGTAATATAAGATGATTTGAGTCTGTTTTACAGTCATTTGTGTGTTTCAGAGGGAGAGCAGCAGACGGTTTGCTCCAGTAGGCGTCGCAGCTGCGCTCTGGTTAACACTCCAACACTGTGTGTGAACAAAGTAGTGTTTCACATACAGGAACTGCAGAGCAAACTAGACAACTGGGGTCAGCAGGTATCGATTCATTTAGATGATCTCTGCAGATGCAATACAAGTATAGCACATGGATTAAACTCATTGGTCAATTTTGCCCTTAGAGTTGAGACTGTTAGCTGCAATAATAATAATACAAAATTATTTTGCTGTGCAGTAATTATCTACATCCAAAATAGAAGTCAGTTTTTACATATGTAATATGTGTGTTATGTATATTTATGATTAAATTAAACTATCAAATTTTTATTATATAAATAAACTCACTTTGTTTACTCTTTGGTTTTTAAATGATCTAGTACAATATAATACACTTACCGGCCACTTTATTAGGTACACCTGTCCAACTGCTCGTTAATGCAAATTTTTAGTCAGCCAATTACAC